TGGGTTCAAATATGTAATGAAAAAATTACATGAACGAAGTATATTAGCAAGAGTTTCACAGGACAAAAATATGACTAGTTATGTTTTTGGAAAAAATATGACTGGTCATTGTGTTCGAGTAACTGGACATGAGTCACTATAATGTATTTCAGAGTGACGGTACATGATGAGTCACTGGGAACTAGTCAGTGATTATGTCACTTTTTGGAAAATTTTAAAATAAGTCATATAGTTGTCTTTTGAAATTAATTTAGTAATATTCATGGAAAAGGCCATATTTAATTGTTAATATCCAAGTGTGTCTCTTCTTTTCTTTTCTTGTCAAATTATCTTATTTTACACTGATTTTGTTATTTTGCAAGTATGATTCTTTGGAGGCACTTGCGGGTGACTGCCCTGGCGTATCGGAAGAAGACCACTAGACAATTCGACTTATTGGAGGGATTCATGCATTTCAGGGACAGTTGAGATTTGTATACTTAGCTTTTTACCAAATCTGATGCTGGCTATTCAATAGTGAAAGTGGTTAGGGTCTTAAACGTCATCAAAACATCCTTCAAATGAAGGTTTCTTTGTGCCATGAATCCAGATGCGCATATCTGATTTATCCAGGTATGTATTGCGTATTTGCATTCTTGATCTGGGAAATCAAGTGTGGCCCTCGATTGCTTTTATGGGAAATCTTAATATGCATGCTGAAATTTGTACTTTTCAAATACCTATACACACAATGAAATTAAATTAGGGCAGCTGGAGGTACATTTTGGCTAAACTTGCCGAATATAAACATTTTATCCTTTTTACCATATAGTGTTTGTTTATTATATCAATTCAGTATAATTTAAATACTAGTACATGTTTTTCTCAATTGTTTAATTCCAGCAACTTCATCAATAACAATCACAATTTTAGCACTTTCAGCAACTTCAACTATTTCAAACCAACAGACTATTTGCATCCCATACAACAACATCCAAGCCTTAATCGCAAAAGAGTGCGGGAATGGCTAACATGAATCAACATGTGAAATTATGAATGTGAAGTTAAAAAGCATAACGGTATTCATATTTCGATTCATGTCATGCAATGTGACTAAATTATCCAGTCGGCCATCACGCGCCTATCATAGCACCCCACGGTCCCCACCCTTTATCCAAACTTGTGAGAGGCATGGTACCAAAAAGTGATTTCATGGTGGATTTCTCATTTGCAGTCCTGATCGGGGTAAATAGTAATTTTGTGTATGCTGCTGCTAATCTTTGAAGTTGAAAACACGTTGGAGTTTGTATTTAACAAACCATACATTTAACAGTTTATATTTGGGTCATCAGCTCATGCCTAGGCCCATCTTGGAGGAGTTATGGGAACATGGCTTTAAAACTATTGGGGCCCATTTTTCAAATGTTAGATCTATTACTATTCAACTAATCAACTATATGCATTACCTAATTAATTAAGTAATGTCATTTAAATATTTATTTGTTCCATCTTTAATTAATGGGAATAGGGAAAACTGTCAAATAAGCCCCTGTACTATACCGAATAAGTCAACTAGGCCCTCGTACTTTACAAACACTCAATTAAGTCCTCAAACTATTAAAAAACGTTCAATTAAGCCCTTTCGGTCGGTAAGTAACCGGTTTCCCGGTTAAATATAACCTGTTTCCTGGCAGCCGCCGTTGCTGGGGTTTGAGCACATCGTCGCCGTTGTCGTCGTTTAACCGGGAAACCGGTTACTTACCGACCAAAAGGGCTCAATTGAACTTTTTTTTAATAGTTCGAGGACTTAATTGAGTGTTTGTAAAGTACGAGGGCCTAATTGACTTTTTCGGTATAGTACAGGGGCTTATTTGACAGTTTTCCCTTAATTAATTAAGAATTCCTCTTTAGCTAAGGGCCCACAAAATATAATACAGCAACAGGGATAAAAATGTTACGGGCAGCTTTCCCTGCTCATTCCATTGAAATGTACAAGAAATGTAAAAAAGAAACATGGTTTATGCAACTTGTGTTTACTGGCTTCACTGCCAGAAAAATAAGACAGCAACTGAACTCTTCTTAACTTATGGAAAAAAGAGCACAACATAACACCCACAGAAGTACCATCTATTGAAGATTTCTAAACACATCACACAGAAAGAGGCAAGAATCAGAGAGTCCAGTGTACATCCTGAACTGAAGAGTCATAACCTGAGTACTCCAATCCCATGAACGATCTTCCAGTGTCTCGACCAATCTCAAGCTGGTCACTGTCAGTAAGGATATTACCCCATGAGTCATGAGTGGATTGTGGGAGCATTAAGGTGAAGAGGGATGAACTGAAATTAGCCTGGTCTCCCTTAAATCCCCACGGACTTGAAAATCCATTGATATTATCAACATTGTCACTGGGTAGATGAACTTCATCATGTACCCCATTGGAGTCAAAACAGTTGTTAAGCCCTAGCCCTGAGGGTTGGATGGACAGAAGAGAGAGAGCGGGATTTGAGTCAGAAGCCCCACTGAAACCTTCTCTGTTGTGCCACATTTGTTGAATAAAGCTTTCTCTTTGGCCATTGTTTCCTGTCATTATAAAGATCTAAGGATATGTTTGGCTTATGGAAAATGTTTGGGAAAGGGGAATATTGCCAAGGAAAATTATGGGAAAATGCCTAGGAAAATTATTTGCTTGTGTTGTTTTACCTTGTATATGAATATTTACATCTAAACATAATTGCGTTTAGATTTCTTAGTCTGTAATATGAAAATATATTCCATAAATATGCATAAATATATAAATGAGTATCAACAAAAAAAAATTACATTTTCCCGGCATTTTATTTCCTTCGAATTTCTTATATGCTTTTCTAGTTATAATATTTTCATATACTCTCTGCCTCTTCGGGTACCAAAGGACCCTAAATGCACAAGTTTGACTTGAAATCCACGTACTATTCACAAGAGAATAATATTTTTGTCAACTAACCAAAGAGTGAATAAAGATTGCCATATTGTTGGGAAAATAGCGATCCAAACGGGGGCTTCCGGCGACGCTCGTTGTGACCAGCCAGTCGCCTTCTGCAGCTTCTCTTAACTTGATCAAATTCAAGTAATTGATGGAACCTGGTATTTAGGGATGGACTCAACCGGGCCGGCCCGGCCCGGAACCGGCCCGGCCCGCCACTGTGCAGGCCCGGCCCGGAACCGGGACTGGTGAACCGGTTCGGGCTTTGACCCGGCCCGGGGGGGTTTGGCGGTTCGGGTCCGGTTCATTTGTTTGGTGGCCCGGCCCGGCCGGTTCGGGCCCGGGTCGGGCCTAACGGTTACTTTTTAAAAAAAAAAAAAAATTTTTGTTTTTCAGCCAAACAGGCCTTATGGCCGTTGGCTTTCAACCCAAACGGCTCTATAGCCGTTGGGAGCCTTCCAGGGGGTCCCGGGTTGGGGGGTGGGGGGTGGGGGGTGGGGGGTGGGGGTGGGGTACTAAATATCTATAAATACTCCATTTTTTCTATACACTTTACTACACATCTTCTCCAAATATCTCTACTCTCTAAATCTCTAATCTCTATTCTCTATTAATCTTTCCCATCTTCATCTTCTCAATTTCTCAAATTTATTACTACATATATTATATTTATATAATTTATTATCTACTTATATTAATATCTAATTATTATATTATTGTTACTTATATAAGTATATTTATTTACTTATATTCACATATTACATATACTTAATATATACTTATATTAGTTATACATATATTAAAGTATAATATATAAGTGTATTACTCAACTTATAGTAATATACTTATATATTAAAGTATAATATATAAGTGTGTTAGTCATCTTGTAGTAATATTAACATAATATTATCTACTTATTATCTACTTATAAATATATATTTACTACATATATAAGTGTGTTAGTCATCTTGTTAGTCATCTTATATTATATATACTATCAACATAATATTATCTACTTATTAATTTTGTTTACACACTAATACATTCTTCATTAATATAAAAGTTGTTAATTGTTTCACTTATCATTTTAGACTTTTAGTATTAGTTCATTGCTATAAAAGTGGTTAATTGGTAGTTGTTAGTTTATTGGAAATAGTTACATTAAAAATTGTTAGACAAGAATTCGAAATTAATTGTTTACTTGTTAAACTAGTTAATTGTTACATTTCTTAATCTCCTCTAATACTAGTTAATTGTTACATTTATTATTCTCCTATCAAACATTCCCATTAATTTTGTTTACACACTAATACATTCTTCATTAATATAAAAGTTGTTAATTGTTTCACTTATCATTTTAGACTTTTAGTATTAGTTCATTGCTATATAAGTGGTTAATTGGTAGTTGTTAGTTTATTGGAAATAGTTACATTAAAATTTGTTAGACAAGAATTCGAAATTAATTGTTTACTTGTTAAACTAGTTAATTGTTACATTTCTTAATCTCCTCTAATACTAGTTAATTGTTACATTTATTATTCTCCTATCAAACTAGTTAATTGTTAATTATATTATAGTTGTTCGAAAATTTATCTACTTAATATATTAAGTGTATTCCTCATCTTATAGTCATATATTTATATTATATATACTATAAACATAATATTATATATTACTAGTTAATCTACTTATTATCTACTTTTAAATATATATATTTACTTTATCTACTTATACACTTAATATAAAAGTAGTTAAATTTCTCCTATCAAAATAGTTAATTCATTGTTACATTTATTATTCTCCTCTAAATTTCATTGCATTGTTACATTTAATGTCTAGTTAAAATTTCTCCTATTGAACTAGTTAATTGTTATTTATATTGAAGTTGTTCAAATTTTATAATAAAAGTTAATTTAATTGGTACATTTTAATTGTTACATTCTAGTCAATTTAATTGTTCGAATTTAATTGTTACATTGTAGTTCGATTTGTTAGATTTGTATTTGAAATTCACTAGTTTAATTGTACTTCGAATTTAATATTTGTTATATTTTTAAGATGGAACGTGGTAGAGCTTCAGTAGATATGGGTAACCTCCGCCGCAACCGAACAAAGGAGATTGCGAGGAATCATCCAAGCTTGCAGAAAGGTAAGGGACGGGCCGGGGCTTCATCTCAAACCCGAGATGATTTTGATGCGGATTATAACCAAAGATATGGGTCTGCGATGTCCGATGAGCAAGTAGAACAACTATTACAACAAAATCAAGGGGCCTTCTTCCATCAACAAAACATCCCGACCATTGACGAAGAAGAGCTCGAGGATGATGATGCGGAGGAGAGGGATCCGCAAACGGTCGAGCACGAGGTTCATGGCACACCGTACGATGATGAAGAGCAAGCGGAAGTGGCTACTTCTTCCCAAGGCGGTGAGAAAGCTGAATCAGTCTTTAAGGCAAATTTTACAAAATTTAAAGACCCCCAAACCGAGATATGGTACGCCACTTGCAAGCATTGCCCAAAGAAGTATAACTTGGGAACTTCTGGAGGGTACGGGAGCGCCACAAGGCATCTTAAGGCCAAGCACCCGGCGGAATATGCGAAATCAGACAAAGGCAAGGGAAAGCAAACACAAATTTCAAGATTTGGAAGTGGCCAACCCTTCGGTAATTTCTCCTATGATGATCAAAGACATTTGACTGGTATGTCACATTTGATTGTTGAAGAAAATTTGCCTTTTATTTTTTCCGAAAGTCTTGCTTTAAAAGAATATGCTCAAGGTACTTTAAATCCTCAATTTCGAAACTATAGTCGCAAAACAATTAAAAAAGAAGTTATAAGGCAATATGTTTTGGAAAAGGAAAAATTACAAATATTTTTCGCAAACTTTGATGGCCGTGTTAGCATATGTAGTGATATATGGGAGGATACTCATCATCATTTATATTATTTGGGTTTGACTGCACATTATATTGATGATGATTGGTGTATGCATAAACGTGTTCTTGCTTTTCGTGAATTTAATGATCGACACACCGGCGATAATATTTATATTCTCATTGAGCGTATTTTAGTTGAGTATAATTTGATTGATAAGGTGTTTGCTATTGGTTTTGATAATGCTACTAATAATACTGCGGCTATTCCTAGATTGCGTGAATTGTGTGGTTCATCTTCTTTGATGGGTAGGTTTTTTCATCAGCGTTGTGCATGTCATATTTTAAATTTATGTGTAAAGGACGGTCTTGCGGCGTTGGGAGATGCTTTGGAGGTGGTCAAGGGGGGGATTAAACTGATTTGGGCTAGTAATCCACTTAAGATGCAATGGAGAAATTATTTGAAAGAAAGACGTGTCAAATATTGTGCTTTTCCTAAAGATTTGTCTATTCGTTGGAATAGTACTTATAATTTAATTAAAGTGCTTATTAGATATAAAAACCATTTTCCCGCTTTTTTAAGAGAATATGCTAACTATATTATAAACCCGGCCGATATCGACACTTGTGAAAAAATTGTGAATGTTTTGGTGTTTTTTAATAATGCCACTGAAACTTTTAGTCATGTTTATAAACCTACCGCAAACCAATTTTTTGTTGAAGCTGTTAATCTCGCCGGCGCTTTTTCTGAATTCTCTGACGCCGCTTACGTTAGTTATTTTTGTGACTTCATGAAACAAAAGTTTTTAAAATATTATTCCTATATTCCGCATATATATGGTATTGCATTTGTTCTTGATCCTCGTTTTAGACTTTATTCTTTGGAGAAATGTTTAGATTACTATTATGCTTCTTTTTTTGGTCCATTGCCTATGTACGACGACAAGGCCATAGACCCTAAACAACAATTCCAAGAGGTTAGTAATTTATTATATCAATTATTTAATGAGTTTCATGCACAATATGGTAACGCACCCCCTCCCCCGCCACGAACATCTTCTTCATCTAAAGGAAAATCAATTTTCAAATCTGCATTTGGCAATCTTATGAAAAAAAGTAAATCAACTCCGGTTAATGAACAAAGCTCGATCAACGAGCTTTCTTTGTATCTAACATTTCCTGTTGATTATGAAGAAGGGGATGACTTTGACGTTCTTCAGTGGTGGAAGGAAAAAGAGAGAACGTTCCCGATCTTATCAAAGATGGCTAAGCAAGTGCTAGCAATGCCGGTATCAACAGTTGCTGTGGAACAAGAGTTTAGTGCGGCCGGCAACGTCCTAACGGATTATAGAACGAGATTAAGCGCAAACTCTCTTGAGACGCTTGTTTGCTTCCACGATTGGTTGAAGGCCAAACGTAGAACTCAAGAAATAAGCATTGAACCCACTCGCCACTTTATGGAAGAAACAACTGAAGATGGAGGAAATTCTAATTGATTCATACTTCATTACTTATTATAAAGTGTATTTCATGTTTTTATTTTTACTCAATTTTCAATTGTACTACAAATATCAAATAAATATGTTTTACCCTTTTTTATGTCCAAGTAATATTAATTTAATTTTGGTATCAAAAAAAAAAAAAAAATTAAAGCCCGGGCCCGGCCCGGCCCGGCCCGGACCCGACCGGGTCGACCCGGCACGAACCGGACCCGGTATCACCCCGGGCCGGTTCCGGGCCCAACAATCCCCAAAAAAAGCCCGCCCGGGCCCGGCCCGGAACCGGAACCGGCCCGGCCCGGGTCCATCCCTAGGTATTTCACTAACTATTTGGTCATAATAGTCATAATAATAATAATAATTGTAATCCAGTTGTCTTATGTTAAAGTGGAAAATCAAAAAAGTAGATGACATTAGCATGTCGAAGTCAAAAGCTCATGAGTGTTTGACAAAACTACATCTTTTTTTTTTTGCTTTCAGACAACCATAAAACAACTCAAGAAGCTAGTTAATATGATCAAATAACTAAAGCGTGTTTGGACGTGCTTTTTTGGATAGAACCAAAAGCATTAAGATTTTTTAAAGAAGCCCCTAATTGGTTGGTCTTCCAAAAAAACGTTTTTACACGAAACAATCAAACACAGTATATGTCACCCAGAAACAATATCCATGTGCTTTAGTATATAGCCATATAGGTAGGCAGTGATGGATCTTGCTACCTAAAGTTGAGTGTTCAAAAAAATTTCAGGGTTAAAATTAAATATTGCACAATAATATTGTCTGCTCCCACAATAATTTTTTCAACAACAACAAACTAGCAAAAAGGGTTAAGGATAAAAAAATATGGAGTATTATTTAAAAAATAGAATATACTACATGTATTATTACATCAATTTTATACATGTATTTTTACATTTTTATTTTCAAAAGTTTGGTGTTCGTCTGAACAGCCAACACCCATGAACAAAGAATGTCCGCCAATGGAGGTAGGGTTGTGTACATCTGACCCCTCCCATCCCATTGAGGTGGGATGGGAGCCTTTGTAGCTATGCGGCACTTAAGTGATGATGATCAGGGATAGATCTAGGAGGGGGCGTCCCCTTAGACTTTCAAAATTTTCTGCTATATACGTAGTATGTAGTATTTTCATAAAATTTTCATACTTTTATTAGATATATATGTTTTCGCTCCCCTTAACTTTTAATATTCAAAATTAATATATAGCATTACATAGTATAAAACTTAATTTTTGATTTAAAAGAAGTAAAATAAAAAACCATTTACATAAAATAATTTACACAGTTTCAGACTTAGGATACCCATTATATAAAAATTCCTAGTTTTGTAATGTTTAACTATCTTTACTTCTTACTTTCTAAAAACAATTAATTGCATAAATAAAATTTCTAATATACTATGCACCATATATATGAATTAACAATAATACGTATAATATTAATCTAAAAATAATAATCTTAAACATAATATTGTAATATTAAGAAAACTTCTCGTGACCCATGAACACCCTCCTTGAACAAAAACTACAATTCAAAAACCAATTCTTTATTTTGATAAGATTCATGTGGTTAAACAAGGTAGAAGTTGTTTAAAAAGCATTGATTGATGTGTACCTTTTAAACTTTTTAGCTTCAAAATAATATGATAAAATATTGTAGATATTTTTCTATTTTCAAATAAATTTTCTTTGATTTGCCATTTTTTTACGCTTTAGTGTCAACACTTTTTTCAAGAGCACTTAGTGTTACAAAATCAAAGTTTTTTTCATTATTTAAACTTAGAATCTAATAGATTTAAATGACATCGCATATGTATTAATGGAATTTTTTGAATAAAAATTAGCCGCAAAACCCTCCACTAACAAAAAACATTTGCCCCGCAACACTAGCAAAAAATATTCACCCCGCTACATTAGCGAAAAAAATTCACCCCTATACAGTTGCGATAAAAATTTCACCCCCACGATAATGAAAAAATTCGCCCCCTTTGAGTTGAAATCCTGAACCCGTCCCTGATGATGATGATATGAACAATCAAACAATTAACTTAAAAATAGCTGTAGTTGTATCGTCAAGTGTTATACCATATGTTTAGTGGCATACTGGCATTGTTGCTTAGTAAAACCCTATTTGTGTGTGTAAAGAACTTCTTAAATCCTATTTAGAAAAAATAACATTCCAAATGAGTGCTAGTAACGAGTGTACTGACCTGCTACATTGTTGGCAGAATCTTTGTTCGATCCCAGCAACAATGACCCTGGAAGACTTGGAGTGAGTGAGACAAACCTTATGCTTTAAGTAATAAGACTTAGCCTCACTCAAATCAGCCTGACAGCCTTCCACCTGACACCTCGGTGGTTGGCCGCCATGCGCCACCCCACGCCTCCCTCTCCTGGATGGCGGCGGTGGCCGACCACTCCCACCCCCCGCCAGTACTAGCGCACTTCCAACATCTCCAAAGTATATTTTATTTCCAAACGTCAAGCCACCGGATGATGAGTCCGTTGGGGTTGAAGAAGAAGCATAACTCACTTCCATTTTTTCCTTACACCGCAAGTTCTAGTAATACCCTGTTTATTTTTTCTGTTTGTGTCAGATCACCGGAATGAAGAGGACAGTGATGATGGTAAGGGTAAATGCATATGAGGAGTACGTATATATATACATTGGAGGTGAAGATTGGAGGAAGAAAAAAGATAGCTTAAAGAGAAGTGGGGGCCAATTTAATATCAAGTTAATACTTTGGAATTTTTTTATGCATGGTACACATCGGACCGGGACCCGATATATCCGGGCCAAAGGAAGGTCAGGGTGAGATTTAAGGAGTCATATATGACTTTCTTGAACTCATACAGGCTAAATTTGCATTATTACTACCATTTATTTCTGGTGAGGGTCTCCAATAAAATCAGAATGGTTGTGATTATGCCAACATAAGTTATAGAACTCCATAAATTAGTCACATACATGCAATTCCTTAAAACTATTCTAAGTGATTAGAAACTTGGAAAATGAGAATTTTATATATTTATGGAGTATTATTTAAAATCTGCATTTTTACCAATACACTCTACCCTTTAACATCTCCATC